GAAGGGAACAGTAAAAATTGAGGAAAGGTTTCAAAGCCCAGAATATCTGTATTTCGAATTCAGTCCTGTTAAACAACAACAACCCACCTTTCCTTTCCATAAAGGAGCTGCCCCCCCCAAGCTATCAGGGGTGAAGCTAATTTTTAAATTCCCTTTGGAAGGGGGGGGGGAAATGCCTTCCACCTGGTTTAGATGCTTCCCAACCTTGCAAACTGCATTGCAAAGCAAAAAAAAAAAAGATAAGAGAGAAAAGCTTTGGTCTGCATCCAACTGTCCTTTGAATCTCATTTGGGTATATAACCTAAGGATCTTCCCTGCTTCCCGCTGAGGGGAGTGGCAGACCCCCCCCCTCCCTCCCCAGGGATGGGGGAGGACGCCAGGTTGGAGAAAACAGCTGTAATCAGCCATCACACCAACAGCCAGTTTTGACTTTATCCTCCGGGGCAGGGAGCACATAATGGAGCCAAGGGCGGGCGTGAACTGCCCCCAGCCCCCCCTTCACTTTCCTTGAGAGAAAGGCTGGAGCAGGGTTCATCTTCCCAAGCTTGTGTGTGTGTGTGTGTGTGTGTGTGTGTGTGTGCATGTACATATGTGTGTGCGCACACGTGTATGTATATATGTATATATATGTGTGTGTGTGTGTGTGTGTCTATCTATCCATCATCTATCTATCCATCATCCATCCATCCATTTAGCACATTTCAACCTTGCTTTGCAGGTGGCTTTTGAATCCTGCAAGCCATCTGCAGCCATTAAGGAACTGCAAGGCAGAGAGAGAGAGACACACACACACACATTTCCTAGACCAATAAACGTAATTTAAATATATATATATATATATTTATCCTGCATTCTGCTAGGGGAAAAGAGGTGCTCTGAAGCCTCTCCCCCGCCATTATCTACCTTGTTTTAAAGAGGGGAACAGCAAATATCGGTATAATATTGCCATGGTGGCTTTATTCAGACCCTGCCATTTTTATTTAATTATTATTATTATTATTTGCAATTAAATGCAAGGGTGCGCTATACCCTACATCCCAGCTAACCTTAATGGGGAGGGTGGGGAGAAAGCCAATAAAAATATCGAGTCCCGATAAAATAAATTAATGCAAAATGGACACACTTAATTGGCACAAATCAGCAGACCCCCCCTAACCCCCTAGCTTGTATATGTATATATATATATATATATACATATATATTTAAATGCGAGAGTCCCCCAGGAAATGCGCATTTTTTTTCCCCCCCCCCCCCGCTCCGTCCTTACCAGCGCAAGATTGGGGGGAACCTGCCCCCTTCAGGTCTCGTCCTCCCGCCTCGGAGGAGCCGCCCCCGGCCGAAGAAGAAATAAACGGGGACTGGGCAGCCGGATCAGCCATTTTCGCCTACGACGTGGGAGTGTATATAGATAGATGATAGATATATTTGAAAAAAAAAAAAAAACCGAACGTCGACGAAGTCTCTCCTCTAAACGACCGCCCCGCTCAACGGACGAGCACCGACTGACCCAACCTGAGGCGACGAGGCCGCAGTGCGCAGGCGCAAGAAGAGGGCGGTGAGCAAACGTGCCGCGAAGGGGCGTGTCGGGCTGGGCGCCTTGGGGCGCAGGCGCAGTGGGAGAGGAGGGCGGGAGGAGGCGTGTCTTTGAGCTGTCAAAATGTATTCTTTTTTAAGACATCCGTGTGTGTGTTTGTATGTGTGTGTGTGTGCATTTAAATTAAATCAGCTTGTATGTGTGTGTGTGTGTGTGTGTGTGTGTGTGTGTGTGTGTGTGTGTATATGTGTGTGTATGTATGTGTATATATATATATACACATATATATATATAAAATAACCAAAGATCCACATACAAATACCCGCGAAAACCTCCAAAAACAAATATATATATATATATAAAATCAGCTTGTATATATATACATATATATTTAATATATAAATTAAATCATGTATACACACACACACATATATATATGTGCATAATACACACACACACACACACACACACACACAAAAGCTGATTTAATTTAAATAAATATGGAAGTGACTAAATATACCAATGTAGTTTTGTTGTTAGAGAGAATTGAACGTGACTTATGAGCTGCCCAGGAGTTTAGGAAAAAGATGACATCGATGTTTTTTTTAAAAGACTGATGCTATTTTAATGCCCAGTAATGCATTATTCTAAAGATGACTTTTAGGGATGAGTATATTTTAATTGTAAATCATGCACTTCCCATTTACTGGATGGCTAGTCATCACAAACATCTATTGTTTTGAAAGAAAAAGTAGACATGCCTCTTAATAATAATAATAGTAATATTATAATGTCATTGGTTTGAGTTTGTTCTTGGCTAGAATATTCTCTGCTGCCCTTTTCCTCTTCTGAATTTTAAATGTGTATTTTTTAAAAAAATTACATCCTGTTATTGCATGGATGTTTTTATTGAGTTAGCCATTCCAGACTTTGCTGAGGTCAGATGGGTGGATGCATAAATATAGCCCATGTAGTAAATAAATAATAAGAATACTGTAAAATAAAACACCCCATACCTATTCAACTTTGGTTGACCTTGGAAAAGTCTTGGTGGTGGTGGTTGTGTAGGCTGGACATAGAAATAGAAAAATTTCTTGAAAGCAGAGTGTGGCAAATCATTTTTATATAATGTCTGTTGTTGTCTTTGTAAGGAGTCTGGATCTCATCAGCAGGCTTTTAAAAAAATGTATGAAAAATTATGTATCAGAAAACGTTAAACTTAGCTCTAAACCAGCTAAACATGGTTGTATGTTTTTCATACACAATCCATACTTGGCGCTTGACTTAACAAGCTTTCATTTACTTTTAAAAAAAGTGACTTATATCTGGTCTTTGCATTACAAACATTGCAGCATCCTCATGCTCAGATGATACCAAATTTCAGGCGCTTAGCCACCCGCATGTATTTATGGTGGTTGCAGCATCTTGCTGCCGGCTGCCTGCAATTTGGCGGTTCGAATCTCACCAGGCTCAAGGTTGACTCAGCCTTCTGTCCTTCCGAGGTGGGTAAAATGAGGACCCAGATTGTTGGGGAGGGGCAAATATGCTGACCCTGTAATAGAATACTTTATAGAATACAATACTTTATTGGCCAAGTGTGATTAGACACACAAGGAATTTGTCTCCGGTGCATAAGCTCTCAGTGTATATACAACAATAGGGATAGATCATTATCACAGTCATTGCGAAATACATTTATCATAAAACATTGGATAGATACAACACTTAGTGATGGTGATGGACACTAAATAAGCAATCAATATAAATCATACCAGGATACTATGTAAGATAGAGCATTTGTGAAATGACTGAGAGTCGAAGCTGATTCAAAGTCTTTTCTTTTTACGCACCAAATGACACGTGTTAGGGTTTTGTTTATTATAAGAAAGCATAATAATTCAAATTATACAGAGGACAATGTAGAACAGATTGCAAATTTGTATTTACAAAATGAGAAAAAACCTTTATACTATTAACTGAATAAAATACACTAAATATGCAAATTGTGCATCACTTAGGGCTGTAAAGCACTGTGAATATAAATGTAAGTACAATTGCTATCCCTTCCTCCTTTCCTTTCCTCCAAACCACATGCCCACTAGAGGGCAGCAAAGAGCCACAAAACTCCAGCTCTTGCTGCCACCTAGAGAGATTTTTTTTGTACAGCCCTGTACAGATAGTCCTCCCTTAATGTCCAATCGTTTATGACCATTCAAAGTTGTGACAGCCACAGAACAGGAGGGCTGCATGTCAGATGGGTCAACTTTATTACCAGCTGCAGTGTTCTGCAGTCACAGGACTGCAATTGATGAGGGTTTTTGTGGCTTTCTGCAAATGGGTTTGCTTAACGACCACAGTGTTTTCTTAATGACCACAGCATTTGCTTAATGACCACCGTGAAAAAGGATACAAAATTATGTCCAGGCCTTCACTTAGGACCATGAAATCCCAGGTGCAATTATAGTCGTAAGTTGAGGGCTACTAGTAACCTTGTTGTAGAAAGTCGGCTTAGCACAGTGGTGAAGGGTCCAGTCTAGAAATCAAGAGACCATGAGTTCTAATCCCACCTTGGACACAAAGCCAGTTGGGTGGCCAGGGGCTAGGAAGGAGACAATGGCAAACCACTTCTGAAAAACCTTGCCAAAAAAACTGCAGGGATTTGAACAGAAGAAAAAAATATCTCTGCTAGGCTAAATCCATTTTCTTTTAAGTCAAGTTTTTTTAAAATTTATAGATAAGCATTTTGAATACGGTGTATTGTCCGGGTATACCATTTTACAAAAGGAAAAAGGAAAAAGAAATAGTAACATATATACTGATAGCGATAGTAGTAGTCCCACAGAATGATTCTAACCATATTTATATTTATGTTGGCTTATTTGTAATCCTATTGATTATATCAGCATACTTACAGTTATAAACAACGTTCATGTTTAATTTATACATAAGAATGCTCTTTCTTCATCTAATTTCTACCTCTTATCTCTAACCATTGATAAAACCTATTCTACGTTAAATAATAAATAATTCCGTATCTCCTTTATCTTTTATTTTCAGTGTCAACCCAATATTTCTTGCACAATGCAATATTTTCCGAATTATATTTTCATCTGATGGGGTGTTCTCATTTTTCCAATATTGTGCAAATACAATTCTCGCTGCAGTCAGTACATGTAAATATTAAATATATATAGATTAAATCCATTTTCTGTACCATATTCTATTTCCATTTCACCCCTGCATAAACCGAAAACTAAGCAAAGGGCTATGTTTGCATAAATGCATGAACCCCACCCCCCAACCAAAAGAAAGTGGGTGAAACCTCTGAGGAAAACCCAGCCAGAAAATGGCTATTGAAATTCTCTTCAAATATCCAGAGGAATGCACTGCATTTCTGAACGGCTTACGGAGAGATTGAAGAAAACTGGGTTGGTTTTACCCAGCACTCTGCAACAAAGTCTAAAAACGTTTTTTTTAAAGAGATTAGGCACCTTTGAAACATGCCAAACCAGTTCCTTATAAAGCACTATGAAAGGCAAGAAGCAGGAAAAGGGCAGTCAGCTTCCAACTTTTACAGCTGGGATATCCTACATTTTCCGAAGCAAAAATCTTTTGCTTGCTATGGGTCAGGAAAAAAACAACCCCTATTTGCATATGTTTCCTTTCCTGAATTTCAGCTTTGTGATTATCATCAAAGCTGCATTTGCAAAAGAAATGAGAGTGCAAATATAAGGGATTTAATTGTACTCAGTATCAGCACTGAAAAAGTGGCTGATAACCCATTTTTCATACTTACAGATTCATTTAACAACCTAATAACCGCAGTGATTCACTTAACACTTGTGGCAAGAAAGGTCGTAAAATGGGGCAATGCTCACTTAACAACTGTCTCGCTTAGCAACAGAAGTTTTGGGCTCCATTGTGGTTGCATTAATTAAAGCTTTACCCAGAGAGCTGGGTCACTGCACAATGTTAATTTTCTCTGCTTGCATTTCTCTTTGCACCAATCGCCAAAGCACCCGAAGGCAGGACAAGGAACAATGGTTGGAAAACTAATCAAAGAGAGGAGCAACCTGGAATTAAGGAGAAACTTCCTCACAGGGAAGACAATTAACCAGGGGAACTCCTTGCCACCAGAAATCGTGGTCGCTCCATCACTGGAGGTTTTTAAGAAGAGACTGGACAGTCCCTTGTCTGAGATGGTATAGGATCTCCTGCTTGAACAGGACTAGAAGATCTCCAAGGTCCCTTCCAGCTCAATTCTAATTCTAATTCTGAATCCTATTCTATTCCACTCTATTCTACTCTACTCTATTCAACTGACATCCTGCAGAAGTGTCCCATTCCAAAACCTGTCATCCCAGGCCACGTGGCTGGGAATAGAATAGAATAATAGAATAGAATAATAGAATAGAATTAGAATAGAATAGAATAGAATAATTAGATTAGAATAGAATGAGAATAGAGAGTAGAATAATTAGAATAGAATTAGGTTAGAATGAGAATAGAATAGAATTAGATTAGAATAGAATAATATAATAGAATGAGATTAGAATAGAATAAGAATAAAATAAGAATAGAATAGAATGAGAATAGAATTAGATTAGAATAAAATGAGAGTAGAATTAGATTAGAATAGAATAAGAATAAAATAAGAATAGAATAGAATGAGAGTAGAACAGAATTAGAATTAGAATAGGGAATAGAACAGAACAGAATAGAATAGAATAAGGAATAGAATTAGAATAGAATGAGAGTAGAATAATTAGAATAAGAGTAGAATAGAATCAGATTAGAATAGAATGAGAATAGAGAGTAGAATAATTAGAATAGAATGAGAATAGAATGAGAATATAATAGAATGAGATTAGAATAGAATAAGAATAAAATAAGAATAGAATAGAATTAGAATTAGAATAGACTAGAATAGATTAGAATAGAATAGAATAGAATAGAATAGAATAGAATAGAATAGAAGAGTTGGAAGGGACCTCGGAGGCCTTCTAGTCCAACCCCCTGCCTAGGCAGGAAACCCTACACCCACTTCAGACGAATGGTTATCCACTCTCTTCTTGAAAACTTCCAGTGCTGGAGCCTTCACAACCTCTGGAGGCAAGTCGTTCCACTGATTAACTAACTGAATGATGGGAGGGGGTGCGCTACCCTCCTCCTCCTCCCCCTCCCTCCACCGCTCCCACCCTCCCCCTTTCACATTGGGAAAAGCGTCCTTAAAAGGCCTTCCAACATCACCGACTCTTCTTTCCTTGCGGGCCTTTTTTTTTCCTCTCTGAGAATGCCCATGGCGGGGTTCTGGACTCCATCTCCCGAAATGCCTTGCGCCAAAGAGCAAGCCCGAGAAAAATGCGTCCCCGCGTCCTCTCTCGGGAGTTGTAGTTCGCCCGGCTTCCCCTTCCAGCAAGAGCGCCCCCCCCCCCGCCCCCGCTGGCGGACTTCATTTCCCGGCGTGCCTCTCCGGAGGAGCACCCCCCCTCTCTCTCCCCCTCCCTTCTCTCTCTTGCAAGGCTGCCCGCGCCTTCTTCTCCCCGCGTGGTGCCGGCTCCGCCTTTGGTTTGCACCGCCATGGGGCGGGAAGAGGGGCGGGCGGGAGGCGGCGGCTGCAGCAGCGGCTCCGTGTCATTCCTTCGGCAGCAGCGGCGGCCGCGGAGTTAGCATCGGGGGGCTCATCAGACTGGAGGCTGCCGGTAGGGATTCCCCCCCTCGGCTTGCAACGGGCAGCCTCTCCATTGCACCCTCCTGGGGCTTTTTTTTAGGGGTGGGGGGAAATGCACGGTCCCCCCCTCTTCCCATGGGGGGGTGGGGCGGGAGGAAAGATGCCCCCCCCTAGTTTGCAAAGGGTGCTCAACCACCCTTCCCCTAATCCCCAGCCAGTGACAAGCAGAGGAAAACCCAACCCCCCCCCCCCCAGGTCCCACCCCCAAAGCAAAGAATGGCCTTTGGCCAAGTGGGTTGGGGATGATGGGCTTTGGGGGACCCAAAACATCTGGAGGGCCCCGTTTGGCCTCTCGGGTGCTGGATGCAATTCATCAGCTTTGGGAAGGGTGGGAAAGGAGGGGAGGAGTGCGTATTATATTATTATTTTATATTATTTTTATTTTATTTTTACGATTCCTGCCCCCGCCCCCCTTCCTTTCTTTAATTGCAACGTCTGGGTGCTTTTATAGGACCATCGCCAAGGTTTCTGCTTCGTTGTTGTTGAGGTTTACAAGATCATGCACACACATGCGCTGATCCACAAATCGCCTAATCCTCGTTTGGGGTTGTGTGTGTGTGTGTGAGTTGGGGAGGGGGGGGGAAGAAGGCAGGTTGTTGTGCAAACTCAGCCATCTTGTACTACTTGAAGAAATGCCAAGCAAAGGGTGCAAAGCAAACCATCCAACAACCGTATATCTATGTCCTGGCTGAGATTCTGATGCTAATCCACTCCCTATCCTCATTTCAAGGATCCCAAAAGAGAGGAGGCAGTGCAATTAATATTATTATTATTTAATCTTTAGTGAGATTCACAGCCTTTGGGGCTGGTTGGTAGCTCAACAGCTCGAGCCCTAACCAGGGACCTAGGAACTGTACAGGTAGCGTCAGAAAATATAAGCTGTTCCCAGTAGGGTGGGTTTTTTTTGTAGAATCAGGGTATTCAAGTCTGATAAATTCACAATTTCCAAATAGCGAGGTAGCCTTTTAGGTATTGCTCCAAGGGCTCCAATTACAATTGGGATAACACTATTATTATTATTATTATTATTATTATTATTATTATTATTATTATTATTATTATTATTATTATTATTATTATTATTATTATTTAATCTTTAGTGAGATTCACAGCCTTTGCAGCTGGTTGGTAGCTCAACAGCTCGAGTCCTAATGGACCTAGGAACTGTTCAGGTAGCGTATTATTATTACTATTATTATTATTATTTCCTCCAGGGGGATTCTGTTTCTCCCATCTGCCTTTGATGTGGGCCTTGCGGCATTTATTTTATTTATTTAAAAAAAAAAAGAATGGCTTATTCTTGCATTGGGATAAGCGTCTGTTCCCCGCTTAAGGAATATGTGCAAAGATTTGAACCGGTTTTCCCACATGTTTCTTCATCTCTTGTCTCATTTCAACTTGCGGGTCGGGTTGCAATCCTTTCGCAACAGGTTTACGGCCGCCAGGGAGCCCAAGCTTTCTGCGGCTTTAAGCGAGAAAAACAGTTCGGTGAATTTTTGGCCCAGTTTCATCATCTCCCCGGCCGCTGTTGTTAAGCGAATCACTGCAGTTGTTCAGCTGGTGGCGCGGTTGTTAAGTGAATTTGGAGGTCGTAAAGGGGATCACGTGATTTCCGAACCATTTGACTCTTGAACCAGATGACCGTGGGGATGCCGAACGGTCGTAAGTGTGAAAAACTGTCATAAAGCATTTTTTTTTGTACTGTTGTAACTTCGAACATTATTATTAAATTAACCATTAAAAGAACAGTTGTAAATCAAGGACGACCTGTAGTTTTGAAGTCAGCTTGGTCCTCTTCAACCTGGGACCTCCAAATAATTAGAATGTGCAGCATCCACTGTCTTGACCGCCAGATGGCTCGAACTGATGGGAAAAAATAGAAAATTAATACAGATCTGGAGAACCTCACTCCCATCGTCCTCCCCAGCTCAAGTGTTTGGGCTTTGATGAGCTGTGTAATTGGGTGTCTTGTTTCAACTTCCTAAAAACCTTATTTGAAAGCTTTGTTTGAATTACATTTTATCTAGATTGGTATTTTCCACTTCAAATTGTGTGGGAATTCTGGGAATTGAAGTCCCTGTGACTTAAAATTTACCACCATGGAGAACCATTGATCTGTAGACTGAGTTAGCCTTGCAGCGTTTTAAGGAGCCCGGCACCTTATCTGATTGTAATTTGAGACTTTTTTTTTCTTGCAAGTAGAATAAAAATACCATTGATTGTGAGTGACAAGTGCTTGAACATTGTTCACCTTCAAGATCAGAAACAGGAATTCCTCTTGTTTTTTGGGGAGCTCTGCAGTCCCGTCAGCTCAACCTTCTTGAGAAACCAAAGACTTTTCATGCGTGATCCTTTCCGCTTGACCACAGATGGCTCACAAACAAAGGAAAGAATTTGCATGTTCCCCATCATGGAATAACAGAGTTGGAAGGGATCTTGGAGGTCATCTAGTCCAACCCCCTGCTCGAGCAAGAGAATCTATTCCAAATATTAGCCTCTACCTAGAATCAAACTCACAGCCTCCTGATTGTGATCCACTGGGGCGTGGACCTTTCTGTCCTCAGATGGACGGCCATGCTAAGGTCCACCCTAAGGAATGGCCAGAAAGCTACGGTTTGCCTCGTAGAAAGCTGTTCCTTGGATCCTAGAATTTCCAGGATGGAGCCTCCATGGAGTGCCTCTAAAGCCCAGTTTATTGCAAGGATTAACAGAATAATGGAGTTGGAAGGGATTTTGGAGGTCTTCTATCAAACAGAAGACCTTATTGCAAGCCAAGTGGTTGTCCAATCTCTTCTTAAAAACTTCCAGTGTTGGAGCATTCACAACTTCTAGACGCAAGTTGTTCCACTGATTAATTGTTCTCACTGTCAGCAAATTTCTCCTTAGTTCCAGGTTGCTTCTCTCCTTCATTAATTCCCATCCATTGTTTCTTGTCCTGCCTTCTGGTGTTTTGGAGAATAGTTTGACCCCCCTCTTCTTTGGGGCAGCCCCTCAAATATTGGAAGCGTGCTGTCAAGTCACCCCCTTTCCATCTTTTCATTAAATTGGACGGACCCAATTCCTGCAACTGTTCTTTGTGTGTTCTAGCCTCCAGGCACTTAATCATCTTGGTTGCTCTTCTCTGCATTCTTTCCAGAGCCTCAGCATCTTTTTTTTTTTATGATGTGATCAAATATGGTCTTACCCAAGGTATTATTATAAAGTGGTATTAACACATCATGTGATCTTGATTCTGTCCCTCTGTTAGTTTCCTACTTTGCTTGCAAGCTCGGTTAAAAAGTCTTACTGATTGCTGGACGCTGAAAACAGCAAATGAAAATAGCACGGAGGTTTAAGGAACAACTTCAGGTTTGTTTCTTCTCTCTCTCTCTCTCTGCTCCATAATGTAAAACAGACAAGGGAGCGGTCTTTATTCTGACTCACTGCATCCACGGGCTTGGCTGGCAGCGTCTATGGTATGTTGTTGAGTGGATTGTGCTTTTTGGCTCGGTTTGCGCCTCTGTGTGTGTATACAAGAATGCAGAGCTGCCTTCTTCCTTTCACGGAAGTTGGGACTTTCAAAGTAGTGTGGAAAGGCCCTTCCAAAACTTTCCGTTAGCAAAACAAGCCGCAAACAATTAAATCTCTTAAGGGAGGCCTGGATTTCCAAAGATCGACTTCCTTTAAAAACAAAAACAAAAAAACTGCCCAAATTGGACAGAAACAGCCCAGAGAGGGAAAAAAAAATCCTTGGTATGGTTTTTGAGCAGGTTTTTTTTTTAAAAAAATTGCTAACTTAAGCGTGCCATGCATGCTTCCATTTCAGTGTTTTGGTTTTCTTTTCTTTTTTTAAGAAGGGGGTTGGGTGGAAAAAAGAATTTTCTCAAAATTTGGCCTCTTTCCCAGCTCTTGGTTTTCCTGAAAACTGAGAGCCATTTTAATTCCGTAGAAGTGATTTTTAAAAGCCTCATGTGCCCTATTTAGAAGAATTATGCCCTCTGGGTTGAGATCCCACTGCTCCCAAATCCCCTTCGCTTCCCCCATCCAGTTCTTCTCCTGCTGTCTGTTCATTCACAGGCCCTTTTGTGTTCTCCTTAGTTTTCTATTTTGTTGTTATTGACCATCCATGATGCTGATAGGAGCAGAAATCTTGTCCTCTCTGAATGCAAAACTGCATTCCGTTTTGGTTGCCACGGTGTAAAAAAAGATGTGGAGACTCTGGAAAAAGTGCAGAAAAGAGCAACAAGGATGGATAGAGGACTGGAGGCTAAAACATACGAAGAATGGCTGCAGGAACTGGGTATGTCTAATGAAAAGAAGGACTAGGGGAGACATGATAGCAGCGGTCCAATATCTCAGGGGCTGCCCCCAAAGAAGAGGGAGTCAGGCTATTCTCCAAAGCACTTTGAAGGCAGGACGAGAAGCAACAGGTGGAAACTCATCCAGGAGAGGAGCAACTTAGAACTTAAGAGAAATTTCCTGACAGTTAGAACAATTAATCAGTGGAACTGCCTGCCACCAGAAGGTGTGAATGCTCCAACACTGGAAGTTTTTAAAAAGACGTTAGCTAACCATTTGTCTGAAGTGTTGTAGGGTTTCCTGCCTAAGCAGGGGGTTGGACTAGAAGACCTCCATGGTCCCTTCCAGCACCGTTATTCTATTCTAAGACACCCCTTAAAAGGAGGGATGTAGCTTAAATTAAATCCCAATTTTCTTGGCCAAAAGTCCTTGGCTTTTCCAAGAACGCATGACCCAACCTTCCTTGAATAGATAGGGAGAGAAAGAGTTGCTGTAGGGGCCTTGAGTAACTTATAACAATAATAAAAAAAAGGAACATTTCTGCTCGGCTTTTGAACTCAAGATTCTCAGGGTCGTCTGAAAGAAAGATTAAAAGAATAACAGTCCTTGCTTAAATCTAAAACACACAATACAGAGAAAAGAGAGTCACCAAGAGAGGTCTCTTCAGGCAGAGTGTTGATAGGCTAAAAAAAA